TTCTTCAGATAAAAAGAAATTACAGAGGTCAGGAACCTAGCTTTATATGCTAAAGTGCATTGGAGAAAGTAAAGATAAAAATAAAGCCTTTTTTTTTATTCTTTTTTTTTTAATCGTTTTTACATTTACTAACATGTATACATTGTTACCCCCCAACCCCCCTTCAGGACAGAACCTGTTCTACCCTCATGTTCTCTGATTTTGTTGAAGAGAAAACAAGAGATAATAAGAAAGACATAGTTTTTCTTATGCTAATTTCTTTTGCTAGTTTGAGATAAAGGTAGCAATATAGATTCCTAGCTCTTACTCTTAAGATAATAGCAACAATGTATTTGATTATGGATGCTTCCATATGTGTACATGTACACTGCAAACTCTAAGTTAATTACTTTAAAAAGTGAAAAAACAGAAGTTTAATTGATAAGTTACAAAAGGAGAAAACAAAATCTTATAAAAATTCCCAATTAAAACTACAAAAGGCAAAAAAAAATACATTTAAGACAAAAACAGGAACAAAGAACAGAGTGACAAAAAAAAAAACAGCAAAAAGGTAGATATTAATTCGTTGTATCAACAATTACTTAAATGTCAATAGTTTAAAATATATCAATTAAAAGACAGAGACTGTCAGAGTAAATCAGAAAACAAGACCCAAGTATATGTTGTCTTTAAGAAGGCAACCTTAAATATAATGATAGACATGAATTAAAAATAATGAGGTGGAGAAAGATATACCATTCTAACACTAATCAAAAGAAAGCAGACATAGCTGTATTAATTTGAGACAAAGATCAAAGAGAACTATCATGATAAAGAGAGGCATAATATAATGATAATGGGATCAATATGCCAAGAAAACATAACAATCTTCAATGTGTATGCACCTAAGAGCAGAAAGTCAAATTACATGGGGGGAAAAATGGAGAACTGAAAAGAGTAATAGACAAATCCACTATTACATTTGGAGACTTCATCACATGGAGAAAATCAGTGAGGACACACTTGTACTCAACGATACCATCAATGACCTGGCATCTATAGATGACTTTTTCTAATAACAGATTATACGTTCTTCTCACTCACATAGGGACACTCACCAAGACAGACTACATTCAAGGTAACAAAATATATAAACAAATTTAAAAAAAATAGAAAGGATACAATATCTGTTCTCAGACTACAAGAGGATTAAGCTAGAAATCAGTAACAGAGGAAGCACTCACTAAAACAAAACTCCCAAATACTTGGAGACTAAAATAACATACCTGCCCCAGTACAACAATAATATAATAAAAAAGAAAAAATAACATACCTGCAAATTACACATGTGTCAAAGACGAAATCTCAAGTGAAATCTTAAAGAGTAGTACAGAAAACAACAGGAAATCAAAAGAGAAAAGTCAACAAAATTAAAAGCTGATTATGTGAAAAGATTAGTAAGACTGATAAGCTTCTAGCTAGGCTAACCAAGAAAAAAAGAGAGGGCACAAATTACAATATCAGAAATGAAAAAGAACATTGCTATAGCTCACAAGCATTAATAGTAAAGGAATATTACGAACAAAAGTCAAAATTTTGGAGACAATAAAAAGACCAGTGGTTGCCAGGGGACTTAGAGGGGGAGAAGAGATGAACTTTCATAGCTCAGAGGATTTTTAGGGCAGCTAAACTATTCATTATGCTACTATAATGGTGGATACCACACATAGATAACATTTGTCAAAACCCATACAATACACAATACACAAGTGAACCCTACTATAAACTTATGAACTTCAGGATAATGACATGTCACTATGTTTTCACTGGTTATAACAGATGTACCATTACGTTCAGGATGTAGTGGAGTAGACTATTTGTATTTTCCATTAAACCTAAAACTTCCCTAAGAAATAAAGTTGATTAATTTAAATATATATGTATGTATTTAAAAGCTGTACATATAAAAATATTGTCATATTTATTCCATTTTCCATTAAGAGAATTTCCAGCATAGTTCTATAGACCATTTCTGAGCAAATAATTACAACATGATTTCTGGCATGTTTGAATTTTACCATAGAATCTTTCAAATGTAAATTAGTTTATACTGGCACTTTAGAAATGCACTATTTTCTGATTCTTGTTGCTTTGGCCAGCACCAGAATCTTATACATACACTGACATCTTAGACTTAACACATAATAGATCTTATTAAAGATCTATTATTGATCTTAAGGTCAATGCTTACAGAAAATCATCTACTCTAGGTAATGTTTATAATACATGAGAATAATCTTGTAACCAGATTACAGAAATGAGAAAAATATTTCCCCCCAAACCCTATACATTCTGGAATTGGAAGGAGCATCAAGAACATACAGGTCACCTCTATCTGTTTGAGGTCTACTGCAAAAAGTCCAAACTTATTATGTACATACAGTCCCCAACTTACAATTTTTTGACTTTATGATAGTGCAAAAACGTAAGTAGTAGAAACCATACTTTGAATTCTGATCTTTTCTCAGGCTAGCATTAAGTAGTACAATCCTCTCTTACAATGCTGGTTAGTGGCAATGGGCTGCAGTTACCAGTTAGCTACAGGATCATGAGAGTGAATGACCCATATTTCACAATGTACTGGGTTGCTAAGTTATCATGTTCAATAGGCTAATTGTGTTAAATGTGATTTTGACTTATGATATTTTCAATTTATGATGGGTTTATCAAAAAACCCATCATAAGACAAGGAGTATTTGTAGTTACAAAAACAATCCCAATACTTCATTCCTGCCTACATTTTCCAATATCATCTTCTGTACTTCCCACTAAACCCTCTTGTGTCAGCTATGCAAAAATTCTCTGTTCTCTTATTTGCTGAACCATTTCATGAACTGGTTCTGAACATCCTATTCTTTCAGTTTGAAATTCACCTGGACCCATCCACACTTAGCAAACTCCTATTTAGCTTTCGTCACACAGAATCATAATCACGCAGACAAAAGGATTAATTTATGAAAAATCTGGACTCTCTGAGATAATTCTAAGTAAAAGAAGAACCGTAAAGAAATCATGAACTTCATTTACTTGGTAGTTGTTACATTATTGTTCAAGTAATTTTTGGTATATTGTAGGATACACAATATGATGCCGGGAACTAGGGCTCACCCCTGTTTTGTACATTTTATTTCAAATATGGAACAAAAGATGAGGAAGAACCCTGTGCTGCTGGATTTGAATTGGAGTTTTAATATGAACTCATTAAGAAAAAAAAAGAAAAGATATTCTCAGATTCTGGCCACTTTGAAAGCGCCAATCTGCAATGGCAAAAAATAGCAATGAGCAAATCTATACACAGATTTGACGTTTAAATATCACCCTTTAAACGTGAACAGCTCACCATGAAAGAAAGAATTTTCATTTTAATTTAAAAAATTGAGGTTATTTGTTTATATATATTTTAAAAAAAACCACTCTCTACTAAATAGGCAATATTCTCTCGAAAAAAATAGATGATTCCATCTTTGGAGCAGGAAAATTACCAGGTAAGCCTGGCTAACATACTATATTTTGAGTCAAGGAAGTGCTCAAATACTGAACAGTCATTTCCAAAGGACACAGGAACCAGCCATTAGTCAAAGGACAATTTTAGCACCAAAAAAGGTACATATTTATAATTATTACACATAAAAAAGAATTCTAGGTAATCAATATGGAAGAAATGTTAGAATATTTCTTTAATTATCATTTTTGTAGCCCCATATAATAAATAGCACAGGTAAGAATCTTTAGTGGATGAGAAAAAAACAGTGAGTAAAAGGTTGTTAGGATGTGGTCTCAAACTATTATTGTACAGATTGTGTGTTAATTATAAAGGGGAAAACATATCTTCACAATGGTTCTGGTTATCATCACCTATTCAAATGATAAAATTAAGTACCACCAAATAGTTGAACAACCTCATATTATTTGTGTGGTGATGTGATGCACTGTGAAGTTCAAACTACTTATCACCTGTATAGTATTTTTTGCTAAAGTGTTTATCTTGAATCTAATTATAAGGAAACAATCATATAAATTTAAAATGTCAGACATTCTACAAAAAACTACCCCAGACTCTTGAAAAAAGTCGATGTCATGAAAAAACAAAGAAACACAAACAGCTAGTGACATAATGCTAAATAAAAAGACATAACTGCATGACAAGATCCTGGATGATTAAAGTAAAACAAAACCTGTAAAACACTTTGGAGACAAATGAGGAAATGTAAATACAAACTATCTATTAAAGGCATAATAAAGGTATTATACAAAGAATGTTATTCTTAGGGGATATATGTCAAGATATTTAGGAGTCAAGTTTCAATATGTGTGCAACTTACTTTCAAATGGTTCAGCAAATACGGCAAGATGTTAACAAACAGTAAATACAAACAAAGGATATGGCTACTCATTGTACTCTTACCTGTAGGTTTGTAATTTTTAAAATAAAAACTGAAAAGAATCTCAGCTTAAATGTCATATTTTCTCTGAAAGCTTTAAATTTTTCTAGTGGAATTATTTATTCTACCTTCAGTATTCCCACAGGACTCTGTATTTCTAGTCTAGCACTTAACAAATGAGTTAAGTGCTGGTCTTATAGGTCTGACTTTTTCCCTAAACTGTGTAGAACTGGTTTCAGATTCATTACCAGAATTTAGGTCTTTATCTGGCACCTACTAAGTATTCACTGTTTGTTTAATTAATGAGTTGACTGACATGCCAAAGTAAAAAGCCAAAATTGAAATCCAGGTATTGTTCATATCACATTGTGCCTTAATTTAAACAATCAATAATTTCTGTTCTTGATTGCCTATTAAAAGATTTTATGTGGTCTGTACCATTATAATGGATTCCACAATAGCATTTAAATTAACCTAAAATAACAGCCTTCAAGAAGCATCACTTTTCAGTCATCACAGGCCTATTTTCATTTTAAATTCTTTCAATTTCAACCCCAGGAAATCAGACAAGAAGCATACCTGCTCTGTATCCTTGGAACTGGAGGTCTGACTTTCTCCCAAGACTCCAAGCTGCTCATTTTCCCATGGCAATTTATTTTTTCCTTTTCCTGCACTTAATACCCTTCGGGTACAGATAGTTGGACTGTAAGATCCATACATCTGCATGCTGTCCCCTCTGTGGTCACCACAGTAGCAATGCGCACTCTGAGTTCTGTTACCAGCCAAAAGCCAGTCTGTATCTGCTCCATGTGCTAAATGGCTTGACCTACCCTGGGCAGAAGATGGCATGAGTATTGCATACTCTACAAATCCTTGTTCTGTTAGCCTTGGTAGGGTTTTTCTAGCCAATCTGGCCTGCACAGCATTCATCACTCCATCTCCATTATCTTGCATTTCAACAGTATCAACAGCTTTAAAAAGGATGCTGGTTTTACCTGAGCCCATTGATGAGGCCAACACTGCAAAAGCTTCTAGTGCTGCTTGGCGTACCCTGCGTTTGCTATCTACAAGAGCTGGGGCAAGATCAAAAGACAGTTTGGGTAAGTCGAAGTCCTCACTGGGATAGGTCAGGAGGGAGCAGATGCAAATGTTCACAACCTCCTCCCTTACTCTGGAATGTTTATGTTTAAGATGTTCCAGCAGTAAACAAAGCACCTGTTGAGGACCTACTTCCTTCATTAGTTTAAGGAAGATTTTCATGTATTCATGTTTGATCACCAACTTGTTGTCTGCCAGCACTTTGACAGAAGCTGCTATAACTGGTCCCAAGAATTGTTGTATCTGCTCTCCAAGGCGAATAACCAGTAAATGCAGAACCTGAAGTGTGCCATGGACCACTTTGAAGTTAGAATCGTCTAATAAATTATACAATAGGCTAATGAAGCCAACAAGACTAGAATGAGGGGTAGAACTAGGGTTAAATTTTCCTAGCACCTGTTTTAGTTCTTCAACTGCCTGAGTCCGGTTCTTATAGTCTTCCTGATCCAATAATCTTGCATGCAGCTCCTGAGGAATAATCCCAAATTTAAGATTGCTATTGGAAAGAGTCACTGCACAGGGGACAGTATCTTCAGGAAATCCACAAGCTTCTAGTTCCAAATAATAAGGAATCTGACTTCCAAACTGGGTCTCTAGGCGGCGATTGTAGTGCCTCCTCAGGGCAGAAGGCAGGCGAGAGATATAGGATCTAAACCTCTCTTGGCCAAGACGCTCCCCAATTTGTTGAAGTGCAGAGAAAGATGTCTCAGATTCTTCTTCTATTTCCTGATCGCCAAGCTTCCGGGCTAGAGATATTATCACCTCGGTGAGATCTAAGCCAAGCAATAAATCCTCAGGAGTAAGCAAGATAGGGAGCAGTAGTGCTGTGGAAGCTCTAAGCCGGGCATCAGTACTTTCCAGACCTTGTTGTATAAGCGTCCTAAGCACCTGTCCAGAACTACGTTTCAAACACACGTGCAGAATCTGCAGCGCATCTTTCCGCAGGGCTGGGTTCTCTTCTCCTAAGGAGACAACTAGTTGAGGCAAAAGTGCTAAACTAAAGGCCTCTTCCAGCGGGCCTGCCTCCCCCTGACCCCGGAGAACGTCTGAGAGAAGATGCAAGCAAAGTCGCTTCTCATCACTCCCTCCTTCCACAAGCACTCGGCCTAAGGCCCGATACAATGCTTCTTTGCGTCGAGGGAAGCCAAGTCGACCACCCCGCCGCGGCAAAGCAGCCTGCAAAGCCTGGAAGGCCTCGGAGGGATCCGGTGCGGTTCGCAAGAGTTGAAGGAGCCGAGTCTCTTCTTCATCTCCTCCCGACAAACCGCCTCCAGGCCCAGACCAACTACTTGACACTGCCTCCGCGGGTAGCAAGAGGGTCGAGGCCAGAGGCGAAAGTGTAGGGGGACAGGAATCGTGGTTCCCGGCAGCTCCACGGCAGTGGTAGTTTTTCTCTCCTCGCATGGTGCCCCCTACTCGACTATCATCAGTCTGTGGGGCGGAAGGACGACTGCCTCGCTGGAGGCGATAGGCACAAGGGGTTGAAAGGGGCGGCAGTAAAAGCAGCTCGGACCGCGCAGCCGCCATGGAGGGTCGTCAGGTAGCGGTGGCTGGAGGAAACCATTGCCGTCTCCAAAGGGCTGAAGGAAGCCCAACCTTTCAGTTCCTCTTCAAGTCCCAAGCTGCACAGGACGAAAAGGAACAGCTTCGGTCTGCTGACAGGCCGCCTGCAACTCTCGGTAGCAGCCTTTGGCAAAATGGCCCCCGCGTGAGCCCCAGACCCCGACAGCTGCCACCAGGCGTAACCAGGGCCGCCACGTGACCAAACCGATCGCTTCCATGGTGATGTGCCCAGCGCGGGCCTGTTGACCCGGAAATCAGCCTCCCGAGGTGAATTCTGGGTCATGTAGTCCACTCCAGGTATTAAGACTAGGGATCTGTCTCCTGGAAGAGGAAGTCAGAATGTTGGGATGTAGCTGGAGTTGAGGCCCGGAGCTGGGGGCAGGTGTGGGAGGGGGGTTTGGGCAGGAGAAGGGGGGTTGGCGGGGGGGAGGGGGAAATCAAGAAACCAGGCGGAAGTGACGCTGCGGTACTCCCGGCGGAAGTTCCCCGCCCCACCCGCGAGAGTTGAGGTTTGACTAGAGCAAGTGAGAATCCTGCCTTGGCTCCAATTGTCTGCGGCTCCTCCTCCTGTCGCTGCAGGTGTTATTCCTGGGACTCAGGTATTTTTCTTTTGCTGTCCTCCAGCGGCGCAACAGTTTTGCCAGAGAGCCAGCCACAAGAGCTAGAGTGAGAGGTGAAGGAATCGACAGGAGCAGGCAGGGAGCGAGGCGACATCTTATGCGGGGCTGGTTACAGATGTAAAGGCTTTATTCTCTACAGTCCTAAATGTGATCCTTTTCTCCTGCGGATCGCTTAGCAGTATCGGAGATCCGGACCAAGGCCAAGCTCATAGACCCGGTACTTTGTTTCAATTTCTGGTCTTTGAGGACTTTACTCGTTCTTCCTTCATCGCCCTTATCTCCTTTCGTAATTCTCAACCCGCTGTATGGGGAGGGCTGATGGTTTTCTGTCGTTTTTCCTTACCCCATCACTATAATCTCTCTTTTAAACGTAGATAATCTGGAGATAAGTTGTTTCTGCCTATAGCTAACCGCCTCCCATTAGATAACGTCTTCAAAGTCTTTCCTTCCAGTCCAGTTCCTCTGTGGGACGCTCCCTGTCTCCACCCCCTCCTTCCACCGCCCCAACCTCCCAGCAGGATCCTCCAGCGTCTCTGCAGCCTTTCAGTCTCCTGGAAACGGAGATTGCAAAGGCGATTTTCAGTGCAGTGCAAGATACTAGCATCATGGCCCTAAGAGAATTCTGCTCTGTGGATTTAGGGTTGGTAGACATTTCTTTGTTTTTGGCGAACGGAGAGTTTGATGAGCATTTTCTTCCTGGAAATGAGTACACTCGAGCTAGATTATTTTGCGTGAGACTAAATGCATTGGAGTGTGGAATAGAGATTTTGTTTGTTTGTGTTTGTTTTTTGAGACAAGGTCCTGAAGTCCAGGCTGTCCTCGAACTCGGGATCCTCTTGCCTCAGCCTTCCGCGTGCTGCAATTACAGGTGTGTACAATTATGCTGAGTTTGAAGAGATTTTTTTAAAAGAACTAATGCAATTACTTCTGAATGACCTAATGAGAAGAGTCTTGAGTTAATTTATTCTTCTAAAATTGAAGTATGCCTACTTCATTTGAGAAGTCTCTCAAATACTTTTAAAATGTTGGAATAATTGTGTCACATATGCCAAACCACTTTAAAGTAGTGCTCCTGGCTGGTGCAAGTTGGAAATTTGTATCTGATTTTTGCCTTATCGCACACTTAAACTATCATAGGCTTCTTTGTTTTCTTTTGGGAAAAGAATTTTAATGCAAATAAGGATGTGTAAACATGCATGTATTGGTTTAAATTCCAGATTGTTTCTTCGTTAATAATTTTGAAGTATAAGTTAATTTGTCAAAATTTGGTTTGGCTACCTATTTCAGTAGACCAAAGCAACGAAAAAAATACCTCCCACCCTTTTTCCATTTTAGGGACAAGGTGAGGAAGGAAAGAGGAGTGAAAACTAAGAGATGATTGTAGAAGTTAGTGTCTGGTTTCCAGCCTCAGAAGCTCAAATGTATGCTTTCGTGTGTATGCTCAGACTTAAAGAACCCAATCCAAATGAAAGAAAACAAGAGAGTGATGTACATGTTAGATGTACACATTAGAATGTACACATTAGAATGCCAGATTATGTTGAAATAGAAGATTAGCCTTTCCAGTGGTCAGAATTTTCAGGTCAAAAATCCAATACACTCTTTTTCTATATCTGAGAACTTTGGAAACCAAGTTAATAACTAGAGGTTGTGTAATAAAGAAACAAAAAGAAAAAGGAATTTGGGAAGTCTTGCATGATATTTTATCAACAGTTATGATAGAAGTTTAAGAATTACCCTTTCTCTCTATAAAGAATATTTTTCAAGGGATATGGACAAGGGACATTTTTCAAGTAGTTACCATGTCCTTTTCCTTTTCCGGGGAGTAAAACAAGATGAGTCTTCTTTGTGGACCCTTTTTTTCGTCAGGTGTCTGTGGATCACTTATCTTACAGATTGGAATTTATATCTTTTATGTTTTGTCTCCTTGATGAAGATTTGGAAAATGCACTAGTTTCCATGGCGTATATTTATGAAATGAGACTTCATTGACATCACATATCTTACTAATTATTATCCTGTAGAGTATAAATCTAATCCATTTACTAGATATTCTGTTTACAGCTGTAATAGGTACAAGCAGATTTTTAAAATAATCTTATTCTTGAATTCTTGAAATCCTTTGTGTATTTACTAGAAAAGTCTTTATATTTAATCATAGATATAGATAGGGAACACCTTTTTTTTTTTAAGCAATACTGGAGTTTGAACTCAGGGCCAAACACTTCCTAGGCCATTCGGCCACAGCCCCCCTGCTCTTTTTGCTTTAGTTATTTTTAGGATAGGATCCCCATATTTTGCTCTGGCTGGCTTCAATTCATAACTACTATCTGTACCACCAGGCCTGGCTTATTGACTAAAGTGGAGATCTTGCTAACTTTTCACCTGGTCATGTCCTCGAACTGCCATCCTCCCAATCTCCATCGTGCCTAAGATTACAGGCATGAGCCACTGTGTCAGAACCTGGGGAACAGATTTTATACTTTCAGAAAATTCTAGAATAGCAACACTTTAAATTGTATTATTAATAGTACACCTCAGAAAGTTGAAAGGAGGTAGTTAAAGATACACTAAAATTTGCAAATTCGGGTAAAACAAAACTTTTAATAGTTTAGGGCTGATGGAGTGGCTCAAGTGGCAGAGCACTTACCAAGCAAGCAGGAGGTTCTGAGTTCAAACTCCAGTACCACAAAGAAATTTTTTTCAATAATTTAGTTAATGGATTACAGGAATATGTGTGCTACATAGATGCCTTAATTTTTTGAGCTGAGCTTAAGCAGAGTAAATAGAATTGCTCCCAAAACATTGTGTATTTCCAGTCAGATAATAAATTTATTGGTTGAACCAGGGTATAACTTTTTCTGTTTTTATCCAAATTTTAAAGACATCCATAAATACTTGAAATCAGTGTGAACTCTGTCTACTATTAAGAATTTGTAAAAATAAATAATAATTTGTATAGTTTAAGAAGTTGTGGGGAAGTATACAAATAAAAGATGCTATTAACATTAACAAATGATTATAATAATTCAATTTATTATGTATTATGTATTATGCCATACATTCATACTTAATGAATAGCAACCCATGTAATCCTTACAACAATTTTTGAAGGTTATATTTTCTATATATGTACTATGGCACATTTTATCTATATATGTACTATGTCTGTATCCACTGGAATAATTGTTCAGAGGAAGAAAATAAAACTCAAATTAGTCAGTTTGTCTATTTGCTTAGAACTTTGAGAAAATTGGGTGGAAAGGGAAGAGAGTGTTGAAAATATAGGCTAAAACTAGAGATTTACACTGTTAATCATTCACACATCTTTTATTATATATTATTTGGTTGTATATTTTACTGTATCCTTATTAGATTTCTGAATCTTATTGCTTATGTCAGAGTTTAAGAAGGTTAAGAAATTATGAGCTTATTTTTATACTTTTAGAATTCAAAGAGTTTTCTCAGTGTATTTCAGCAACATATTTCATATACTTTGGCCTATTTTCTAAAGTCAGTATGTATTTCTGATCTGAATCATAGCCATAATTTTTTTAAATCCAATTTTTACTGCATTCTGAGCACTAATCTGTACAGAATTTCACATCTGTTACAGCCAGTTTTTCAGTGGACAGGAGTTAATTATGTAACTTTGAGCTTTTACTGCATGTAGTAACACCTTTAGGGACTTGCTTTCTGCTGTGTTATTTCTGAGTCCATGGTATAATGATTCATGTTAATGACAGGCTCCTAAATTTACTTTTGTTTCTCCAGATGTAATGAAAATAGTCTCAGAGAAAGGGAAAATATGCCAACTTTCCACAGATTCACTGATGAAATTATATACCATCATTAGTCAAATTCTACTGTAAGGAATGTTGAACTGTGGGAAGAAATTTAAGAAACAAGCAATTAAAATAAAATACTAGTTTCATAAATCACATTTTTTACAGAAAAGTGTTTGGATTTTTTAAAAGCAGTCCTCATTTCTCTTCACTATTTTTTGCTGTGGTTATGATCTGTATTTCGGTAGTTAATTGCCTCCCAACTGATTTTAGCAAAACCACTTTGTAACGTAGGTTTCAATTAAGTAGATAAATATTAACTAAACTCACAGTTTAACTCTTATTATCTTGGTCTCAGAACCAAAACTTGTGAAGTCCTCATCAAACATATTGTGGATATTTATACAAGAGTATGATTAAAAGTGAAGTATAATACTATTACTTTGTTAAAACTTAATTTAGGGCCTGCCACTTGCTAGGCTAGTGCTCTACCACAAGTACTCTTAAGTATTTGTTTTATGGTACTAAAATTAAGAAGAAAAAATATGACCGGTGTGTGGGAGAACTTGGTATAGTAAATTTGTTATTATGCGAAGGAAATGATTGTTAATGGATCCGTCTTTATTTCACTTTAAAGCCCTGATGTGCTTTGGTGTCTGATCTGTGCATTTAAATGTGGTGTGTGTGATTTATCTTTCTGCATATTTTTAATTTCTTGTTTTAGTCAAAATTTTAATAAGATTAAGAAATTACACACTTATTTAAGAATTTTGGAAATAAAGCCGGTATATAGCTCAGTGGTAGAGCGATTGTCTAGCATGTGGGAGGCCTTGGGTTCGATTCTAGCACCAAAAAAGAAAAGACAAGGAAAAAAAAATACCAAAGAATTTTGGAAACAGAGTACCGAGGTTTGAATCTTAGCTTGGGCTTAGTAGTTCTGTTCCTCAAATTTCTGTCTTCAAAATCAGAATAATAATAACAGTTTTATCTCATTATGAAGGGAATTGATGCATGTAAGTAGCTTAGAACAGTACCGCATACACTAAGACAATTGAGCAGAGTTGTATTCTGGATGCTCACTTACATTATAGTTTCAATTATAAATTAATTCAGTAATATTTTAAGCAGCTCAATACCATTCAGTATTGTATTTTCTTGAATATAATACATAGAGAATATTGTTTTATTGTAGTT